CCGCGCTGGATAGAGGAGGATTTCCCTTGTGTCGCCTCTTTTCTTCTTGGGAATCTTTTCCAGTGTAGCAACCTGCTTCTCTCTGCTTTACTGTAAATATTTGTATCCTGCTAAACGGTGATTAGAAGAGTCATTTGAAAAACAAATGTCCTTGTGTCACGCTGTTCTCGGCAGAGATCCTGTGCTGAAGAACCAGATGGCAGCGCTGGAAGAGGAGCATAGCGTTCGGTATCTGCTCCCGCCGCAGTATTTTAAAGCCTGGTGCTTTTCCTTCTGGTCCTCTCACCGACGGCTTCCCTTTGCTGAGGTCGTGGCTGAAGTCCTGCATCGCCTGGAGGAGCACATGATGAAAACTGGTTTTAGAAAGCGGGGTGAACTTGATGAAATCTCCCAGAAATGAGTCTGCTTCCCCAAAGCCGGTGCTGGAAGGAGATGTGTAGTGGCACAGACCAGCGGCCTGCTGGGCAGAGCAAGGTCTGGGGGGGCACATGCAGGCAGTCGTGGCAACCGGCAGCAAAGGCTAATTTTTCTTTTTGGGATCTAGATTATCAGCCCTTCTGTAGGGACAGTCTCTTCCCCCCCAAACACAGGCACCTTTTGACTTCATCCCAAAGTGGAATAGGACATTCAGTTAAAAAAACCCATATGTTTATGGGGAGATAAAGAAGCACAATCCCACTTGTGCTCTTTGAGACCTTACTCCTGTGTATTTCAACCTCACAAAGATGATCTTCCCGTTGCTAACAGAATCGCCTCCGCCGCCTGGCTGGCGGGGCCTGTGCCGTAGCATCCTCCGCGTCCCTGGGGCTGACTGCTCTGCTCTCACGGGAACGTCCCTGGCTAGAAGGTGGCTCTGCTGTTTGCCTCGGTGGTTTTCCATTTCGAGGCATGGATGCCTTTGTCTGAGGCTGCCCTTTTCTTGTCTCCCAGTGACTTGTTCCAACGTCAAATCCTTTGTGCTTTTGCAAGCAAGAAATACTAGTCTTGCCATGCAGAGCTGCCTTTTCTGTGCCATCTTCCCCTTCGGCTTTAGTGGAGATTTCAGTGCCAGCGAGCACTTGGCCTGTTAACTTCTTCCCCCGCAATGCTGCGACGGGATCTGTGGGTCAGCAGACGGGGCTGCTTGGGCATCACAGAAACGATGCCAGTAGAAAGTCGCCCACTTGCATTTTAAATGTCAGCGTCGTTCTGGAGCAGCAGATTCCTCGGTGGCCCACAGACCCCACGCTGCACCCGGCAGAGATCCCCTTGGGGTGACCTACGGTGAGAGTTAAAAATAAAGCTAGACTAAGCCTCCTTACTAAGCTGTCTGTCGGGAAAACCACCGGAGTCTTTATAGACCCGCTAAGCCTGAGAATAGCTGAACTGGGTGTATGAGGGGGTTTGCCAGGTACAAAAAAAAGACCAAGCCACATGTGAGAGCAGTCCCAAGACTGTTTCTGAACTCCGTTTGGCCTCCGCACTGCTTTGTCACCAGGTACTCGTGTTGGAGAGGGTGAAGGCTGGTCGGGAGACTTCCAACTGCACAAGGTAGTAGGTAGCTTTTGCGTCGGACACAAGCGGAGCGGAGCTGTGATCGCTGCTGCTCGCCTCCAGGAAGACCCAGGCTGGGTGGGAGCTGCTGCTTCTCTGAGGCCAGATGCTGACATGGAGGTGATGGGCACCAGCTCCGCTCGTTTCCTCCATCCACCTCCGGTTTGGGAAAGGAAGCGCTGCGGGATGGAGCTCTGTGCCATGGGAGTGTGTCTGGCCCTCCGTGTACACCGTGGGGTCTCCAAAATGGAGATCTCCATGGAGGCTCAGAGGAGCTCTTCCAAGAATACAGCCCTTCCCCTGAGCAGCACCAGTGTGCAAGGAATGCTTTCCTGGCCTGCGACACGGTGCCCTCTCCCAGGGACACTGCGTGCTGCCAGGCTGTGACCAGCGGGAAGCTGGAGCATCACGTCGAGGTGAAGGGCCTAAACGCTGAACCGGCTGCACGAGGTTGTGTAGGGGCAAGGGTGAACGTGTTGTGGCCTCCAAGGCATGAGGCTCATACAGGGACGTGTCTGAGAAGAGACACTGCTCCTGCAAGGGGAAAACTGGTCTGCGTTCATCCCCGATTAGATAGGAGAGATCGCCAGGAAACCAGCTTCGTTAGTGCTGCTGCCTGTTTGGCCAACGCCAAGATGCCAAGAATCCATCCATCCATCCATCCATCCATCCCACTCCTCACAAATAAGTGGACAGGACTGAGGAGATTATTAAATCTTTACTAAAGGAATATATATCGCAGCAGTGTGTTTGCGGGGACTCTGAACAACTCCCCTCCCCAGCAACGGGTAGGACAAGGGGACGGATGCTGCAACCCAAAGATGTGACAGCTGAAGGTGCCTCTAATGTGCCGCCGGTCGGGGGGATGCTCTGGCTAATCTGTTGAGACAAACGCTGCAGGTTTTCCGCCTGTCGGTGGTTTGGCAGGTTTCAGAGCAGTGACTTGTTTCTGGCATAAATCGTGGCAAGGTCGAGGGCTTCCAGCACTGGGTTGTGGGGGCTGTTGGTCCCCCGGCTGCCGGCCACGCAGGCTAAACTTCTCCATTGGTGTCGATGGGTTTTAATTGAACCAAGCTCCCCAGGAGGGAATCCCTCCCTTTTGCAAAAAGCAGATTTACGCGCGGTATGTGTTGTCCTCGTCCAGTCTGCTGCAGCACAGGGCTGCCGGTGGATTTTGCTGTGGCCGTTGGAGGAGCCCTGCTGCCTGTCCTTCCCCCTGCCGGCGGCGGCGCCGC